AACACCAAGATTTTTTACTTTATTATCTGAAATCGGTTTAATCCCATCCAAATGAAGTGACTGACTTAAGAGACAAATACACTGGGCTGAGTGTAGAAAAATATGGAGAAACAAAATAATGATGCCAGTAATTACTAAGAATGTTTACAATAGAGCACATGTGGTCAATCAGTGTGTCCAATATAAAGCATGTGATAGTTTGATTCAGTCCCAGTAAGGGGTAACAGAGTTTTGATGCAGTAATTTGCTGCAGCTAGATTACATGGGTGTTTTGTGCTTTGTTTTTACTAGAGGTGATTATCTTTTATGCAGACTAAAATGAAACAGCTGGAGCAGGAGGCCCACAAAGCAGCTGGGCAAATCTTCTTGGTTAACAGCAACGCTCAGCTACGAACAGTAAGTTAAAAATGGGCTTTAGTTTGCAGGAGGATAACATTTGCTCCTGTATTCATTGGTGTAAGATTGTTTTATACATATGCTTAAAAAATCCTCATGAATTTTCTCTCTGCCATATGTTATATGTGTTTTTATTCGTCATGTTTATTTCTATTTGGAGAGAGTCTCAGTATCTAATGTTTGAAGGTGCTGTTTGAGAAGCTGCGTTTACATGAGCGCTGCAGAAACAAGAAGCTCCCCAAGACTATCAACAAACAACAGCAGTCAACATCGGAGGCTGCGGTACAGGAAACGCACACACAGCTCTGTCAGTTTCAACCTCAAGTCATCAATTATACATGAAACACAGCATATGCTGATTTATGAACACGCATATTCATACGCATAAACTCTGAAGGAGCAAAGATGTGTAATATTCAAACATCTTTTAAATATGTACATATAAAGCAGAAATCTAGACATAAAGTGAAAAGGGACAAGAAATAAAACTGAAAAAGTTCAGGGATGTAAACTTAAAAGTTAATTACTTTAAATATTGTTGTTTTAGTTGCTGCAGCTTCAGGACCTACATCCTCTTCCAAAGATCATTCTGGAGTACAGACAGGTCAGCTATTACATTACAGTTCAAAGTAGTTTGGATTCTTTTAAATTAAATTTAAGCTCAAAGTAACATTTGAATTTTAAGAGGATCAACCTGACAGTTTTTCTTATTTATCATGTAGCTTAATTTAAGTTAGTGCAGAACATTTTTAGTAGTACAGATTTGCTTTGGTCTTGTAAATAAATTTTTATTTCCCGCAGGTTCACAAAATCAAGTCAACGTTTGTTGATGGGATTCTGTCATGCATGAAGAGCAAGGTGAGGCAACCTCTGGTTTCATGTTACAAAACCATTTAGAAAATACAGAACTGTAAAAAGACATAACCACTTTATCTCTTTAAAAACATTTAAAGAGACATTCACAACATTTTATTTAAAAACATGTCTTTAACTGTTTGGACGTTTAAAACCATTTGTTTTACACACCCCAGACTGAATTCCTTACTTTTGAAAGAAAACGTTTTTATTATTGTAATAAAGTGATAATTTATAGTATATTATAGTTATTAGTATATTTATAGTTGTTCTAAATTACTCCATTGAAGGATTCAAATTAAAAAATACTTTATTAATCCCAAAGTACATTTAAATTTTGCAGTTTTTTTATCCTTATTAAAAGGATTTATTTATTTATTTTTTTTGTTTTTCATTGAGTAGTTGTGGGTATTGATACAGTAGCTGTAGACAGGAAGGGTACTGTTTGTACTGGTCTGTCTTGCGCCGGATCTGGAGCAGCCTCTGACTTAAAATACTTTGTTTAAAAATTTTCTAAAGAGGAAGCTCACCGTTGTTCATGATCTTCAGTTTATAAAGAGTTCTCCTCCGTGAAGCAATCTACTGAGGTTCCAGAGGAGTTCCTAGAACAGAGCAGGCCTTCTTTAATAGCGTGTTGAGCTTTTTTAAGTAATTTTCTCTGATGCTTAAACCCCAGCAGATGATAGGGGAAGAGATCACACTCTCCACAACAGACTTATATAAGATATGTAGCATCTTGTTGCAAACATGGAAGGATCTAAGCTTCCTTAGGAAGTACACTCTGCTCTGCCCCTTCTTGTAGTCTGTTTCACAGTTACGTCTCCAGTCAAGTCTGTTGTCCAGGTGAACATCAAGAGTCACCACGAGTCGTGTTAAATGCACTGGAGAAATCAAAGAACGCGATCCTCACAGTGCTGTTTGCCTTGTCTAATTGACAGTGAGTTTGTTGAAGCAAGTGTATAATGGCATCATCAACTCCAACTCCATGGCAATGTTCATTTTTTTAGGTGAATTAAAAGACATTTCTCTACGACCTTAAGGGTGTGGGATGTCAGGGCAACAGGTCTATAGTCACAGAGGACTGTTGGCTGAGTCTTCTTTGGCACTGGAACAAGGCAGGAGGTCTTTCACCTCACTGAAACTGTCTCTCGGGTCAGACTAAGTTTGAACAAGTGCTGTTGAATCCCACAGAGCTGCTCTATGCAGACCTTCAGGTCTCTGGGGATGACACCATCAGGACCTGGTGACTTATTACATTTCAGTCAGATGAAAGGCAGAGGGAGCAGCACCATCTTCTGATTTGCCTGACAACAAACTCATGGAAGGAGAGTCAATGGCAGAGGAGGGCAGGACGTTCATGTGACTGTGGGCAGGAGATAAATACGGGAACCTTGTTCCTGAACTGAATCTGTTGAAGAATGTATTCAGTTCATCGGCTCAGTCCAGATTGCCACCATTCTAATCATCCTTCTGCTTGAAGCCGGTGATCTACTTCATCCCTGACCACACATCTTTCATATTGTTCTGCTGGAGCTTGTTTTCCAGCCTTTTGCCGTATGCCTCCTTGCTTACTTTATCTTAACCTTAAGTTGCATTTGTAGACTTATTGATTCTCTGTCCCCTTTCTTAAAGGCTTGTGTTTTGTTGTCAAGCAGTTGCTTCAGTTCACTTGTGATCCAAGGCTTATTATTTGGAAAGCATTTCCCTGTTCTGGTAGGGATGGTGTTATCTACACCTCATTTGAATTTTCCTGTCTCTGTCTGCTTGTATGGTCAGAAACCCTGGCAGAAAGATGTTGGAGTCCAAGATATGATCCTGCAGCCGCATTTCAGTAAAACACATAATGCTTTATTGCCAATATTCTGGCTGGGTTCTTGTTTGAGCTTGGAGTTTTATAAATTCTTTCCTAAAGATCTCACATTGCCCATGATGATTAATGCAAGAGATGGCTTTAATTTCTTGTTCCTTTCTTGTCTCCTTGCTTGTGCTCTGAATCCCTGGCTTCTCCTTTTCAAATCAGCTGGTACTTATGGAAGTATTTGATGTATTATTTCAGCTTTAGAGATGTTAAAGAGCTGCTCCCGTGTGTAAAATAATCAACTTTCTGTGGTTACGCATCATAAAAAGTATCCAAAAAGGAAAAAAATATCAGTAAAGATCCTTGTGGTGTCACAGTTTTCAAGACCAGAACCAAAAACATCAGAAAAAAGAAGCTCCAATCCACAAATGGAGAAACTAAAGTTATAGAAAAAAAAGAATATCTCAGTCATGCTACCAGAACTTCTCCAACGGGCAGCCACCTTAAGCAGTGCAATTCAGAAAGTTACTACTAAACCATAAACTCATTAAAGTAAGAGCAACATGTTAACCCATGAAGATATCACAAAAACAGTTAAAACAAACATAACACAACATTGAATTATAATATTATATTAAAAAAAAAAAAGATATAATAGCCTGTTGGTGTCTAAACTTCTAGACAAAAAGCCTTTAGACTTGAAGTGCCTCTTTTATGGATGAATAAATTCCAGCATAATTTAGGAGCAACAACTAAGAAATAGAGTTAGCTTTACGTTTCTGTTTGGACCCAGAACCTAATGAAAGCAATTTGTCATTTCATCTTAATGTTTATGTTAAGGCGAAATGTGTTAAAAGAATTGTAAAATAGGTTACTTTCAGAAAGAAGCTTAAAATCCTATAACTAATTCTTTAATGAAATGGAATGAGGCCAACACAGGTACAGCCATTAAAAAAGTTTGGGCACCCCTTTTAATTTTAGAGCCTGTTGTTTTTGCAAAAGGAGGATCTACTAAATATTGTCTCTTTTTTGCTGAGGTGCCCATATTTTTGCACCTGTCAAATTGTGTTTTAATAAGTACTGTTTTCTGTTAGTCCAATATACCTCAATTCAATACTGAAATAATACTGTCCATCAGTTATTCGATATATCAAATTGAAATAGCTGTTGCAAACACCCAAATATTTGGAAATAGAAATAATTAAGATTAATAGGGGTGCCCAAACTTTTTCATATGGCTGTATGTATGCCCATGTTTTCCAGTTCTTCTGAGCGGACAAGTAGCAGCACATGCAGCCATTACATTGGAAAGACAATAACCTATACGTATTGACATAAAAGCATTAAGTTATTTATGGAAACAAAGTTTTAGTTGAATGTAAATAAGGCTTTAGGGATACAAATACAAATACCCACTGGAAAACAACCATGCTATGAAATGAAAGTCTTAATAATGGCATAACTATGGTTTGCATATCAAATACAATGAATAACTTTTTGTTTGAAATGAGCTAAACAGTATTAAAGTTTGTCAATGCATTATAATCATAAAGGCAGTTGAATAAAGGCTCAGGAGAACTGTCATTTTTTTTATCTTAATGCACAATTACTTTTGCGTAATATTGCCAAATAGTAAAAAGCAATATTTTATTCTTAAAAGTAGACCAATAACACACATATATAATGGAAAAGAATCAGGCACTAGGGCAGAGCTCTGAGGAACTCCAAACATAAGTTTTGCAACTGCTAAAAAAAACACACTATTAGTTAAGTTAGACAAACTTGATTAGATCAGCTTATTAAATATTCAGTGTTCCTGATGAAAACAGTTTTTGCTGTTTTGTATGGTGCCAAAGCAGCACCTACTGTCTTAAACGACCAGCATCAATGATTTCATGGAGTCCTCAGTTAATCTAAAATAATAGCAGTTTAAGCATGACATAATCCTTTATACAAAAGCCCTATTATAAAAAATAAATTAGAAAAATTGAGGAATATCCTGTAATGCATCATATTTAAGGTTAGTTGGGACACATCCTGAATAACGATTTTGTTTCAAATAAAAGAATATGAATAAATGATATCTAAAACCAACTTAAATAAACGGGATTAGTGAAAATTTGTCAGCCATGAAAGTTTCTCATACTTTGGCTCTTCTGTAACAGCAAAGTAATGAAATGCCATGTCTGAGATAGTTTTCTGAAGCTGTCACTCTCTTTCTGCCAGCGTTGTATTGATTTGTTAGGGAAGTTCTTGGTCTGACTGTCTCTTCACATGGGCCTCAATCAGACCTCCCATATGGAAGCAGCAGCTTTTGTTTGTCAAATGTGTTGTCGACTCTTCAAAGTCTGTCTGCTTGGCTGATGGTGAAAGTGATTCGTTTGGTCGTCTGTTAGCCAGTCCAGACTCCAATCCCAAACATAAAAAAAAGGAATATTACATCCTATTAATTTACAGCAGTGGCTAATCTAAACTGGAATAAATTAAAGGAAAGCTTCAAACAAGCCAAACTACTGAAATATACCAAAATGTGTTGAACTAGTCTGATGATTAACTAGATAAACCATTTTCTCAACAATTATTATTTTGTCACTGTTAAATGTTAGTTACATCAAATAACATCACACTTAATTATTATCTTTCTATATGTTTCTTCTTTATTTAATTGGGTTGAGAATTAACAGATTGTTCAAAGTGGGCATGGTATGGCTTATGGCTGTTAACACCAGTTAATAATAATAATCCACAAACCAATGGTGGCTTCATGTATCACAACTGTTCTTATGTATTTAAATATAGATGAATCGGCTACAGAGAACTTACAGATCACATGTCCTGTTCAAATACCTTGAATAAGTGATGACTTTTTGATTTTGTTGGTGAAATTTTATCCTTCTTTGATTTTTTTTTTTTTTCTGGATTTGAAAACCACCAGAACTACATTTCTTCTACATGGTGCCAGACGAGTGCTGTGACTGGGAGAATCTCGGCCAAACATCCCGTAAGTTTAACCAACATGGCATTTCTTTGCATTCCCTTCTGTCTGCTTGTCTGAATAGAGCTGTCCATGGTGCTGAAACTTGGTCAGCTCTAGATTACGTTTCCTCTTGCAGTCTAACCTTCTTCTACGACATGAGAAAGTTGTCAGTATTTATGACCGTTTATATACATAAAAGAGGGACTGTTTTGTTTACCAAATATGTAATAATGTTTGTTTTTATACTTTCCTTTGTGAGCATGTTAAAGTTTTCATGTAAATAGTTAAATCGATAACTTTAAACATCTTAACAGACAATTGTGATATCCCCACTGTATGCAATAACAAGCTGATAGTTTCTATAAGTTATGGTTATGATAAATGGTGTATTAGACAGCATTGGAATAATAAGTATCTCTCTGTGTGTTCAGAAAGGGAAAAATTCATGTTACATTAAAATTATTTTTAAGGATTGGTATTGGTACTCTGCTAAGAAAAAAAATCATTGTCATTCCTTGGGGACAAAACACAGACATGCACATATTTTAACGAAACTTCAGTCTTAAATTTTTTTGAAAACATTGTCAGCATTGGTGACTTTCCTTTTACCTTACCTACTCTCTCCACCCTCCTGGAATAAACTAGAAACTTCCATACAAAGCCCTCCAGAGGTATCAGTAATTCATGAAAAGATGTGTAGAAAGCCTGAAAATAAATCCCCTCTTTGTGTGGCAGAACCATAGCACAGAAAAATTATGCATTGAATACTTTAAGTTAAACTTTTCCTGTTCTATTTTAACTTCAGCAGGCTCTCTGGGAACTTCTAATTACCTAAACGAAACATGTTTTTCCCTTTCACTATTAAATGCATTTCTACAAGGTAATTAAAACATCTTTGCCATTCTACATTTCAAACCACTCTTATGGATTGTTTCTGCACAAAAACCCTAGCACTAATATTAAAAAATAAAGGGTTTATATCCCTTTCAAATGACCCTTTAAACATACTTAGATTAACTAACACACAAAAACATTAGGAAAAAAATAACCCAATTTTAAATAGAACTTTGAAAAAGCTTCATACGGCCTAGAAAATGGTAAGCGAAAGTCCAGCCTCTTAAATGCAACAAAGAAAGAGAAGTAGACGTTCAATTTTATTTTTTTTTGCGCAATTACTAAACATCAACAGACTCACTCACATTTGCTACTTCTTTTCTTCTTCTACTATAAAGCCCTACCACTCCTACCTGGTATGTGTCAATCGATTTGCTCATTTTTAACTTCCCCCAGCTGTCAGGATCCATTAACTGCTTCACTCTCTATTGTACTGATCATCTGAATGAAACACTCATCTATTTCTCTTTGAAGCCACCAGACTTTTCTTATCTCGCTTCGTGATATGTGAGTGATATAAGGTACACATTGAATTGATTGTGCTGCTGCCAAATGATTGATGTGATTGTTGGTCAGCACAGTTCTGATTCCACCACTCAGACACAGGTATGGGAATTGATTGATCAACACATTAAGGTGGTTTTCTTCAGTGCTTGTTTGCAGTAATTTATGTGCAGCTTTATTGATATGATCTAACCAGTTTGATCGTGGGTGGGCTTAGAGCACTTAAAAAAGAACTTCATTGAAGCATTTATCAGTTTGTCTTATGATCTTATGATGGATACATTTAACAGTCAAATAAAAAAGTCAGTAAAAGAAGAATTAAGAACAAAAGAAAGAAAAAGGAAAGCCAGCTCTGTGATTGGATGCCCTCTGGACTCAGTGCAGGGGGTGGGGACCAAAGGGGCCCTAACTAAAATAACATCTCTGCTGGATAATGTCTCCCACCCCATGCATAAAGCTGTTGCTGAACTGGAAAGCTCCTTCAGTGACAAACTGCTGCACCCTGAATGTACCAAAGTCCATTATCACAGATCCCTCCTTTAGGCCGCTCTAAGACTTTATGACCACCACTGTTCCCAACAACCTCAATAAGTTGTTACATCTAACCTGATTTTTGCACAGTTTCTGTCTTAGTTAGATAACATGCTGCTGTGATCTGCACATCTCTGGTGTTGCTGCTATTTTCAAATATCCGATACTGTAAAAATGTCCACAGCTGTTGATATATATGGGTTTTATATTTTATGTTCTTTGACAATCATACAAGTTTTGTATCACAGATGAAGTACTCTTTTTATATAAGTTTGTATCGAAGCAGGAACATGTTTTTTTACACTGTGTCCATGAGCTTTGGGGAACAGATACTGGGCATAATGAGCTCTGGGGAGGGTCAGTAGCTCTGAGGATGTAACACAGATGAAGCAGTGATTGGTACCAGGTACTGGGCATGATGTAACTTGTTTTTGTATCTGATCATTATGTAATTTTGTTTTTGGTTTCGGCTGTCCACAAGCCCTGGGTGGTTTCGGGGCATGCCGGTTCCATATTTTGGTTTCTGTAATCATGCGCTCCAGGCGTAAGAGGGAGCGGTCACTTTTCCTGATAGTTAGAAAGATTTTACTTTGAAGTGTGGCATAAATGGCGGGGCTTGTTGACACCGGCGGGGTCTGCTAGGGTTGCGTACGGACGCCTAGCTGTGCGGGTTGCACAGTAGGGGGACAATATAAATTGTATTGAGACAATAAAATTTGTATTCAGCACCGTGCCTTGATTGATGTGCTTGCTTTGCTGTTTTCTGTGGCAGAATAAAAACGACACATTTTAATTGTAGCAGAAACAGTTTGTGTGTTCATCTTTATCGCCGACTCATCCCGATCCTGCCTAAATTTCATAATACAGCTGTATAGTGGTAATTTATTATTTCCAGATGCACAGTATTTATATTGTAAAAACACTGTACAGTACAGTATTTTAGTTGTTTATTTTATTAACTATGTCACTTATTATGTTATTTTTATACACTTTTTAAGCCCCACAATTTGTGACCACTTTTGCTATAATCTTGTGCTGCTGTAACACCACAATTTTCCCATTGTGGGACAATAAAGGCATTTTCTATTCTATTCTAAAATGAGCACATAGCAGCTGATGACACTAATGGTCTTAAACCTCATGGGAGAGTTATGTATTGTGAAAATGTCTCATAATCACCCCAATAAGGTGTTAGAAGTCAGAAAAACTGATCTCTGACAGCAGTAGCTTGTAGACATTAAAGCATGGCTCATTATGGGATGTTCTGTCTCCATGTCATGCTCAACATTGCAGTGCATGCACAGTAAAATATTCAATTTAAAATAACTAAAATTCTTGCAACACTTAGGTACATGTATTTTCTGCTTCGGTTATAACCAGCATTCGTACTCTGATGCTCTTGACTTTGCACCATTATTCCAATTTCTCCTAGCTAGCATATCACCAGTGTAGCCTACTTTATTCCTGGACTATAGTGTGAACAAAAGCGCCTAAAAGTTTCACTTTCCTACACATAGCTCTTACAGTACAGCAGGTATTCCATTTTAGCCAGGGACAGAAGTGTTTATTAAACTGGAGTCAGGAAGTCTTAGTTTGATTGGATGAGGAGGAAAATTAAATAAATTGTGTTTTGGGATGCTAAAGGCAAGCCTTATCTTTCAAATCACAATAAACATGTCTGCAGTAAGATATACATCTATTTTACCTTCATTAAATTAAGCAGATAATTGTTGTGAAGAGCTACATAGTAGTGAATAAACATGCAGCTGCCTTTATGCATAGTTCAATTAGACACTCAGAAATGAAAAACACTTCATTTGGAGATTTCAACAAGAAAAGATATTGAAATGAGGAGTGTTGAAGAGGGATCGGACTTTGAAGTATCATGAGTACAGCTGAGGTAATGCCAGTCTTTAGTAACAATGGGATGCTGGAATAAAAGCAGGGATAAAAGTATCACCATGAGAAATCAGTTGTGTTGGAGAGAGAAGTAGGTCTATGCGGCGCTAGCTCGTTTTTTGATCTATGAAAATGCAAAATGGCATTAGATGTCTGTGATCCCCAGTGGTGATATCTGTTGGTGATACTCCTTTTTTGTTTCCTTAACATGTTTTTCTCTGCCTGCTGTTATTTTTTTTTTCAATTATTTCTCAGTTAAAATCTTTCTTTATTTTCTAATAGCTGTATGACCTGTTTAGGTTTCCTGTCCTGCTCTTTCCTCTGCATAGCCATTCTTTAAAGCCAAATGAAGAACACTTGACTCCTGATAACTCAATAACCTGCTCATTTTCTGTCACAAACTTAACAATGTTTTCCTTCCTTAGGCTGTGAAGTCAGATTCCACTGTGTTTCACTTCTGTTCTCCTTTTTTCACTTTCCTCTGACAGTTTTTCACATTTCTGTCACCCACACAAGTGTTAGATTCACTGTTTGGTTTATGGAGATGATGAATTAATGTTCTGTTTCCTTTCTGTATGTCATAGCATAGTTGGTGCTGTAGTATAAAGAAAGGAGATCTGTGACTTTTTTTTTTCCCCATTTATTTTACGCTACACTCAGAAACAAATATTTCTGTAAGTTTTTAGGGTTCTAGTAATGTTTTATCTTACTTTAAAATATTCCAAATTAATGGAAAATGTTTTGTCCAGCAATACTCTGCTGCAAAAGTTGTTAGCTGAAGCAAGCCATTGTGAGAAAACATTTGATACACTTACAGTATTTGACCTAATTTTGTATTCGCACACTGTTTATTATATCCTGGCATTGATTTGCTCATGTATAATCCTGGATCAGTTTAATACTTATCCACTGTGTAATACGGCATGTACCTTATTCATTTACTTGTTATTTTCAGGAGGCATGCACTGACATGAACATTTGGGCCGTTTTGATATTGATAATGCTCTTATGACAGATAACTAATATTTAGCTGGATATACTGTGTATAATTTTCTATTTGGCAACAGATAAAAATAACTTTCAAAGTTCTTTCATTGCTTCCCTACTTTAAATAAACACACAAACATGTGCTGCATCTTTACAAGAGTCACATGACCAAACAAACACCACATGATCAACCTCCTTCCCCTTCCGAA